GGGGGGGGTTGTTCTGACATTTCTCTTTGGGGCTTGAAGCTTCTGTGACGTGTTCCAGCGCCCTTCTTGTCTCAGTTCCTTGGGGTTGCTCACTACCGAAGACTCCACCCCTAAGCCCTAAACGGCGCAGCATCGCATTGCCTGCTTTCAGCTTTAAAGATGTCTTAGGAATTGCCCCAAACGGATTGGTTCAGGGATACCGGTACAGGGAAAGGTATACTGTACTATGCCTGCTTCCACGAGATGCATGCGTGAGCCGAGCGTAAGCAAGTGCAGAAGGCATTCGACCTGAAAATGAACCACTTCATGAAACCAATGCACGACCGCCCAAACAAAAGAGAATTGAGTCAGACTGCATCGATCGTTTCCCGAAGCCGATGAATCCCCAGCCCTACAATAAAACCGTTGAACATTGTAATTTAGGGGCCGTAATAATTCGAATAGGGTTTGGGGGTATCGTATACCGTATTCATAATAAGGAACCCCAAAAAAAACTCTGTTCTAAATATTAAGGACCCCGAATTACAGAAACTACAAGGTGAGTTCATATGTAAACAGTTGACAGCTGCCAAAACCCTAAACCCTAAACCCTAAACCCTAAACCGTTGATCAGACCTAAACCCTAAACCCTCAAGCCCTAAACCCGTCAGTAAAGGCTACCTAGCCAGCCCCGAGGGCTTAAAACGCAGCAAGGAATGAGCCGAATAGCCCTCAATATTCAACGCAAAACCTTGTATGGGCAGTTCTCTAAATTAGGGTCCCTTTTTGGGTCCCCAATATAGTACGGCACCCTTATAAAAAGGACCCCACAAGGGACCCTAATTTAGAAAACTACCTATATGGGGGTTTCCGAAAATAGGGGACCGAATATAGCACCCTGATAAAATAATAGGATCCTCATTACAAGGACCCCAACATAAGGTTGCCCCTCTTTTCGGGAAACTCCCACACCGTAGGGGCCTAAATACTTACCAGTACTAGTTGGGGGGATCCTCATGGCAATTATAGTATGATGGGCCCCCAAAGCCTTTTTTAATATGGCCTCTATAGCAACCACATATAATAACGTTCAGGGTATATTTCATATATTTTCTAATGCAGGGTTACTGATCTGGAGCATTGAGGTAAGTCACGCTTCTCCGGCAAGAGCTCTTGTCTCGGCAGGAAGTGCGAGAAAGAGATCACCTGAGTGAAGTTTGGACCCTTTTGCATCCAGCCTGCCAAAACCCTGCTTATTGTGGACTTCAGTCGCAGGGTTTAGGGCGTCCTTGCGCTGAGGGTTTTGGGTCTTGATAGTGACACAAGGCAGTATGACATTGTTACCGGGCACTAACTACAAAACAGTAGGAGAATGCAGCAGCTTGTCCTCAAAGTGGACGCCGGTTTAAACCTAAATCCTTTTTTCACACCCCTTAACCCTAAACCCCAAAAGAAGAACTCTCTACTCTCGCTGTGGTCACACGACCTAAGGCACCGACCGTGGTGCCGGGGTCCTGCCAAGGAATTTAGGGCCAGTTTCGCGTTTGGGGTTTAGGGATTTGGGGGTCTAGGGTTGAGGCTAAGTTATAGGGTTCAAGGCTTTGGGGGCTTAGGGGTTGCGGACTTCCTTGCTTGCTAAGCAGGATGGAGACACCGATCTTTGAGGGCATCTTCCCTGCTCGGGTTCCCACAGCGGAAGGACGAGGGCAGAAGGCGCTACCGTGTTCCAGCGAGCAGGCGGAAAGTAGACAGAGGAGCAGCAATTGCATTGCGTTACCCATAGGCCCCAAAGTAGCTCCTTTTGGGGGGTACCTTATAGGATTCTTTATATGAGCCCCAAAAAGGAACTACTATGGGGCCTATGGGTAATTTAGAATCCTAACTCCCCAAGCCCTGAAGCATCTGAAAAGTCTCACGGCTACAGCCTCAATCCCAATCCTGACCCCTACCTCCCCAGTACCCATAGATGTTAGGAGCCCAGTGAGACCCCCTAAGCCCTGAACCGACTGCCCACTCAAATTGCCGACGAAGCACTCCGAAACGCAGCCCAAGCGCTTCAGCCCAAGAGCCCGGAATTTACTCCCAACATGTACGCCAGGATCCTGACTGCCATGGCTAGGACTGGGACTTGTCTGTCCGAAATCCTTTAATCTACGGACCTTGTAATAATCCGAATAGGGTATAAGGGGGTGGTACACTGATGTACGAGTATCACGAAAATATTTGGGACTGTAAGTGGACAGTCTGATATTCTCATACCATTCATTCCGTCCCCTACATTTTGCCTGTCGCATGTGGCTGTCTCGACTCGAGGCTGTACGAACCTCCAACTGCCAGGAATCTCTCACAGGAAGCCCATAGGGAAGCTAATCCCACATCCAAAAGATATAGATAGGTAGATGGATGGATAGATGGTTGGGTAGATGGGTGGATAGATGGATGGATAGAGAGATATACAGAGGTAGATATAAAGACAGACAGACGGATAACTAGAATGAAACCTGAAGCCTGCAACCGCCGAACCGCTAAACTCTGCGGGGCAGCATTTTCTTTGTCTGACGGCGGAGACGCCTCGCAGCCTGCAGCCATGCGGGTGTACCCGGCACGGATGTCTCGTAAACTGCCTGCTGCCATGGAACTGGGCACGGATTTTAGGCAATGACCTGCTTAGCAGGCGCTTTTCATTGGAGAGGGAGCACCTGCACAGTCTCGATGGGCGGGGGTTTAGGGATAGGAGTCTTGATACAGGAAGCCTAGGCAACGATAGGATTGCATCAAGGAACAAGGGAGCAATGCTGCAAGGCAGGCGCACAAGATCATGCTGGCCTTTTCACCAGCATGCAGACTTTCTACGGGCAGGTACAAAATGGATGGTATTTGACCCTGCTGCAAGGTAGCCACGGGGAAGTTCGTGGGAGTGCACCGAATCAGCATTCCCAGCTTATCTGGTCGCCATTCACCGCTAGGTTGCCGAGAGCTCCAGCAGCGTTCTCCTTGGCTTTCGCCGTGCCACTTGACAGGAGGAGGACCAGTGGCTCCACAGCACCGGCCCCAAGGATGTCTCTCTGACGCTCCTTTCGGATCGCGAGATTTTCCAAAGTCCCCGCAGCAAAGGCTTGGGCATCCGGGCTGCCAGTTGTAAGCACCCCAACCAACATCGGGATGGCCTTACTTCCCCAATAAGCCAGGGAAACAGAAGGCTAAACCTTCCGAGTACTACTAGATTATAAGAACCCAAAAATTTAAAGGTTGAGAATTTTCAACTAAGTCTTAAGTAACTAAGTGGCTTCCGCCGAGACCAGCTCCTCGTGGTTCGCCTCGTTCGTCGCAAGACTGGCCATGGCTCTGGCCGCGTTCTCCCGGCCGCCTCAGCAAAAACACGGCTCTTCTCTTAAAATTACGGTTTAGGGTTTAGGGTTTAGGGTAAAAAACCCTAAGAAAAATGCAAGGCCAACCATATGAGACCCAACTCTCAGCGCGGGGTGTAGCTCTAAGGCAATGTCTGGGGTACTTCTTATGAAACCCCAAAATAGCACGCCAGCTGCCATCAATCCCTGCAGAACGCCATTACAAGCCCTACAAAACTCGAGATGAAGCCTCATAATTGCCTATATAGTTGAAACTCTATAAGAGCCTACAGAGATTCTAGAACCCCCCAAGAAGGCACTAAGCCCGCCACGCAGGCTGCCGTTGCCAAGGAGTTTCGCTAGTGGCCGGCCCGGTTTGGCCTCACGACAGGCCGAGTAATACAGGGTTTAGGGGTTTAGGGTTTCGGGTGTTATAATATAGGGGACCTTACTAATTAGAACAGGGGTTTGGGGAATGTTCTACTATAACTATAATAAGAAACCCCCGCAATAGTATGACTTGACTTGACTTGACTTGACTTGACTTGACTTGACTTGACTTGACTTGACTTGACTTGACTTGACTTGACTTGACTTGACTTGACTTGACGTGACGTGACGTGACGTGACGTGACGTGACGTGACGTGACGTGACGTGACTTGACTT